GAACCCGGGTCCCCGGGGTGGGCCTCGGGGTGCACTGCAGGGAGATGAGGGAAACTGGGCTGAGGGAGCTGAGCCCACAAGGGGCAGAGTGAGGAGAGCTAGGGTGGGCCCGGGGGTCGCAGGTGAGGATGTGAAGGCCGGGGTCTTCCTCCCCCTCCTCACTGGTCCCTCAGCTTCGCTCCCCACGGCCCCTCTTGTATATCCTTTTCAATGAGTGTTGAATATGATTTTTAGATGGAACATGAAGGCTTATTTAAGCAATATCACTTCTCTCCTGAAAATGATCTCAATTGAATCCTGCTGCATCTTACCTCGTTTAAGATCATGATCGAGATTTCTTAAACCATGTAGATAACATGAACCAAACTTGCAAGTGAAGAGGCTGCTCATTCCATGTTCAAGTTCATGTTGGTGAACAACTTCTTTGGATCTCAGCTTCATGTACCGAATTATCCATTTTTTCTCCCCACTGTGGACTAGCTCAGATTGATTTTTCTACCCCTTTTGAGATTGCAATCCCATCTAAAAATCCATTTTTTTCAAGTATTTGGATTCTCTTGCCTGCAGTTTGTCCTGATAGTTTCTCATTAACTTGCCAGTACATTGATATTTTTAAGAAGATTCACTTCTATCATTAATATTTAAGTCTTAAATATAAAAAAGAAATTAAAACAGACATGTGTTTGTGGTAATATTCATTGATAAAGTCAAGGTAACTTCAAGTTCGCTCATGTTACATAAATATATTGCACAATTTCACAACAGATGGTGTCAGGTAATTTGATCACACGGATAATTTGGGAGTATGTTCTAGAATCTAATCACTCTTGGACTAGCATTTTCCCCTGAAGTAATTTGGAAATATTTTAAGTTTACATGTAACTTGCTTAGTTGATCAAGTGGTAGAGACATAAACTTCTGGAAACAGAAAACTTAGCATCTGTGAATAACTTTTTGGATTTTTTTAATCAAAAAATCAACTCATAGGCATCATGGTTTGTTTATAAAGGCATAGATTTTTTTTGCCTCTGGCTAATTTAAATAATCTATTTCAAAACGTCCATGGTTCATTTTCTTTTAATAATATAGAAACTTATTTCAAATTTCTCTTGAAGGAATGTCTTTCATATGTTAGATTTTTTGCAAAATATTTTTTCTTTTTAAGACCTTCCTTTAAAATACGCCTTCTCCAGATGGAATCCTGGTGACCATGAACTTCTACAAGCATGACTCCATATGAGAGTACCAGAACTATTTCCCGAGCCGCCTGGAGATGCCAGGCCGGGCAGTTCCGCCTCGGCTCCCAACAACCTCTGATCCTGGAAGTCACGTCCACAACCAACCCCCAGCGCCATCGTACAGCACACAGCAAGCGAAGAGAACCATCTGGCGGGCTCCACAACTCCTGGAGAATTCTCCGGGTCCCAGACAGAGCCAATATCACTGGGAGGTCCCAGATGGAGTAGGTGCCTTCTCCCCGCCTTCTCCAGATGGAATCCCGGCGACCATGAGCTTCTACAAGCATGGGTCTGTATGAGGGTACCAGGACTATTTTCTAATATTTCTTAATATGCAAAGTGATCAATGGAAAGTGAATGATCTAGCGTTTTTCCCTGAAAGATAGGCTTGAATGTTGGTGGGAAAATCTGGGCAAAATATAATGCCCAAACAAAATGCATCTGGACTGTGCATTTAACTACAGTGCTATGCCGCTCTGGGAGGGGAAAGGTGTCTGTCCCTCTGCCTGTGCCCCTTGTGGTGGCGGCATGGTGGCCTGAATCTTTTAGACCCTAATGAACAGCCAGGTATGAGGCTGCATTGACGAGGCACGTGGGGCCTCATGGGATGGGGGGTGGATTCGGCCCTGTTCCCCGCCATGACAATGCTCCGGGTTACCACCCTCAAACACCTCCTCCAGCTTCTGAACAACCATGATCCCAGAGGCACACATACCAATCTCGGAATCCAGGGCCTATGGCAGTCATCACTCTAGGTTTATTACTAAAATATCAGAAATCCAATCACAATAGCAGCCACACAACATCATATGCTCTTCACTAGAAAACAATAGAAAACAAATTATCTAATGTCTTTGTGGCAGGTCTGAATGTTGGGGAAAATTCCAAATAACAATGTTGGGTCTTTTGTTATAATATTCAATGTGATCAACGTAGGGAGAGAGAGAGTAAAGTGGAAATCTGCCACACAGGTGGGGGTGGAGGGGGAGGGGGATATACTGAGGTTCTTGGTGGTGGAAAATGTGCACTGGTGAAGGGACAGGTGTTTGATCATTGTATGACAGACCGAAACTTGAACTGAAAGCCTTTGTGACTGTTCTCATGGTGATTCAATAAATAAAATAAAGGATGAGATAGGTCAGTAGAGGGTGATCTGAGGAAGTCAGGGATATAGAGAAACTCTGGAAAATGTCAAAAAAAATTTGAGTATTTGGTGGTCATCATGGTGTAGTCACTGTCACTAATTGTCCTCCTGTTGTTCATCAATTTTCTTGAGCAGGCCCAGTAACATTGTGAGACTTGTTGTTGCTGTGTTTGGCATATCAAATACATCACAGGGAGCTTGCCAGGCTTTGCCGTGCAGGTGAAATACTCTCAGTAGCTTGCCGGGCTCTCCGAGAGGGGTGGAGGAATTGAACTCGGGTTGGCTGCACGCAAGGCAAACGCCCTACCCACTGTGCTATCGCTCCAGCCCCATGCTGTAGTAACACTGACAATACAAAATAACAATATTAATACTTTCCTCTGAAGATTAACATCAACTTTGATGGCAATATCCATGCCAAGGGCTACAATCAGAACTCCTCAACATAAGCAGAAATAAAGGTCCACTGGCAGAAATAATGGGAGAACTGATTAATAAGTAGAACTGATTAATAAGTAAATGAAATTAGTAGAAATAGTGGGAGAACTGATCCACACATCTGAATTGAGGGGGTTGGGAGGGTGGGGACCTTAGGAGGGGGACGGATACATTGCTGATGGTTTTGGAATTGAAATTAAGTGCACAAAAAATCATTATTAATAGCACTGCAAACCACAGAATACCAGTAGAAAAATTTAAAGTAGAAATAAGTATACCAAAGCCAAATATTTTAAAACATTTTCTAAAACTAGAGGTGAGCTTATGTAGCTTTTATTTTTTATGATTATGTTATATCTGTTTTTAATCTTTTATTTTTTAATTCTCAGGCAATATTGTTATAAAGGCAGTATTATGAGACAAGTATAATTTTATACTTTAATCTGGGTGTGATAATGAAGAGGCATTTCAAGAGCCAAAAGTATCAATATTCTAAATTATCAAATATTTAGAATTTCCTGAAAGCACATTCAACATTTACAGATTATCTGTGAACATTTAATATTTCAGCAGTTTTTTCCACAAGACAGGTGCATTATTTATCAAAATAGGTTTTAAAACAAAAAAAAAAGGAATACATTTACTCAACTTATGTTGGCATCGGTCAGAAAAATATTCCCAAAATTACTATATGAATTACAGTAATTTTAGAGTATTTATCTCTTTCTTCCATAGTTAACATAGTTATGCTTATGAGTTCAGAAGTCTCCTTGTGTAATTTCTATCATCTCTCCACTGATAACAGAAAAAAGAAATTTTTAATGAGACCACGTGGACCCTACCGAAACGGTCTCTATGGGTTCAAGTCATCTCAATATTTACTATTGACCTGTGGCAGAGCTGCTGCAGAGAAGAGAAGTGACCTTCTAAACTCTATGACCTAGAGGGTATGCATATGCTCAGACGTTTGCTCTCTAAGGCTTCCTTTCATACTTCATGATGTTAGTTTCACCCATTTACAAAGCAATGAGCAGAATATGTTCCTGTTGGTGGGGGGTGTTCTGCTCCATTTATTTTGTTTTTGGTTTTTGCTTTGGAGCTAAACATGGTGGTGCTGAGGGTCACTCCTGGGTGGGCTCAGGGAACCTTTCATGGGCCAGGGCTCAAACTCAGGTGGGCCATGTGCAAGACCAGCAGCCTATCCACTGCACTATCACCCTGACCCTCTTTGATGTATCTGTACTGAACATTTGTAGGTTAAGCAGCATTCTCTGAGGCTGGTTTTAGAGTCCAGCTAGAGCAAAACAATGCTCTTTGATGATACACTTCTATTAAATGTTTTTATTGATTGAGATTCTCTGTGGTTTACAGTATTATTAATAGTGGTATCTCACTATGACAAAGTGCCTTAAATTGGTGAAAGAGATCTTTCTTTTCCATCTGACAGTGAGTCCAGCAAGACTCACTTATAATTAAAATTATTACAGTTAGAAAATACAAATACAGGGGCTGGAGTGATAGTTCAGAGGGGAGGGTGTTTGCCTTGTAAGCAGCTGACCCAGTTTCGGGCCCCGGCATCCCAGGTGGTCCCCTGAGCACTACTAGGAGTGATTCCTGAGTGCAGAGCCAAGAGTAACCCCTGAGCATTACTGCTGTAACCCATAAAACCAAACACACACACACACACACACACAACACCAAATATAGAACTGTGTTTTCTTTAAGATATTTGAAGACTCATGGGTTACCAATGAAATTTTTATGTGAATGAATATTTTACACAAATATTAAACTCTGTTCTACTGAAACATTCACCATAATTAATTTCATTCTTGCACGGGTCAGCTTAAATTCAATCCATGCTGACCTGTATGGATTTGCGATTACTGACACCACCTCAGGAGAGCTGCATTGTGGGAGAAGCAAGTGGAAACAGAGGGAAAGATGCAGAACTTCCTCCTCCCATCTGTGAAAACCTCCAGACATCACATTTTCCCTGAGTGTTTACGCATTTACACAGACAAGGTCCTGTGTTTTCTTGCTGTGATGCAAGTTGAGAGGGAACGCTATGCAAATGGGCAGCAACAGCTCAAAGTTTAACCTGAGGATCACTTTGACACACCAAAGGTCGAATAGCCTAGCTTTGCTTAGTATAAATTTTGATATAAAACATGATTTGGGTGCTCGCTTTGACAACACATATACTAAAATTGGAATGATACGGAGAAGATTAGCATGTCTCCTGTGCAAGGATGACATGCAAATTCGTGAAGCATCCCATATTTTTGCAGCCTTTGGCAGAAATGTGTCTGGACTATGCATTGAGCTATGGTGCTGTGCTTCCCAGGGTGGGAAAGGGTGTTTGTCCCTTCCGCCTTCCTCCCCCCTGGCAGCATGGTGGCTGCCGCCTCAGAGACTATTGGATGGCCAGGTATGAGCCGGAGGTGCTGGGGCACCCTTGACCTCATGGGGTAGGGTCTGGAACCAGCCCGTCCTTTTCGCCCTGACAAGAACACGAGTTGCCTCCCACGAGCGGCTCTCCAGCTCTGGAATGACCATGATTCCAGAGGTGCACAAACCATTCTGGGAAGCCAGCAGGTTTTGGCAGAAATCCCTCCAGACTTAATTAGTAAAATATCAGAAATCCAAAATCATATGCTCTTTATAATCTGCAATAGAAAACAAATTATCTAACGATGACTTTTCTGATTGTTGGGAGAAAATTCCAAATAATAATGGTGCATCTTTTGTCAAAATAATGAATGTAATCAAAGTAGAGAGAGAGTTATGTGGAAATCATCTGCCTCACAGGCAGGGGGAGGGTTAGGGTGGGGGGGTATACTGGGGTTCTTGGTGGTGGAAAATGTGCCCTGGTGAAGGGATGGATGTTTGATCATTGTATGACCGAGACTTAAACCTGAAAGCCATGTAATTGTTCTCATGGTGATTCAATAAATAAAAAAATTTTTAAAAATGAAATTGACATGTCTAATCATTTTGTAATAAAAAAGCATGTAAGTAAAAAAACATGATTTAGATTTAATGGTGGACACATATATCAAACTCTATACAACTAAGTGGGAGCTTCCTACAGCCAGTTCAGAAACCATTGAAAATATCTAAGAGACTTTTAAAATAGGGGTTCTGTTCCATTTGAAAACATCTCACCGAAAAGCTATGATGTATGTAGGCCGGCCACACACTCTCTTGACCAGTAGATCTTTCAACCAATATGTTCATTCAGAAGTTGCCTATTTCAGTGGCTCCAGTTGGAACTCATGCTTGAAGACCTAACTGTTTTCCAAAAGATAGCATTGAAAATGTCACATTCCATTTCGGTGTGAAATCTGCTAGTGACACTTTGGAGTTGTTTCTAGTTAGGTTATTTCAGGCACAACATTATCATTGTGGATGCAATTTTCAAGTATTGGAATTATCGGTTCCTTGAAGAAATACATTTTGAAGATACGGGTAAGAAGGGGCACATTTTATAAAATGTTACGATGAAGCTCACAGCCGATCTTTGACATGTGCGGGATTTAAGTTTTACTGCTAAAAGACTGCAATGGACAGTCAAGAGAATTACCAGGGAAGTGTGAGCTTGTCTAAGTGTAGATTGTCAGCATAGCTTTTGTCTTTAGCAAATGAGTTTAAAGGAAGAAATTACAGTTTGAATGGATGAGCCTGCCATTGTTGTTCCTTACCTGGTTGTTGCTGTTCACAGTCCTTTTTTGAGGCTTCACAAACTTCTATCAGGTATATATCGGACACTTCTGTTTCATGGTCAAGATAGGATCAGAAGCCGTGGATATTGACAATGGATTTATTCGGTTCTGTTGTCTTTTCTCCATGACTGTACCTACTGCCTCCTCTTGGTTTATAAGCAAAACTTGGAAAACCTATAAGAATTACTGTTTTGTGGTTTCCCAGGGATGGTGTGAAAATATTGATATATATTTTTGGTGAAGAAAATCAATTTTGTATAGTTTATTTCAACCTAAGTAAAATGTGAATTTTGTTTAAAAAGTGGAGCGATATCACAGCGGTAGGGCATTCGCCTTACAAGCGGCCAACATGGCCCACCCGAGTTCGATTCCTCTGCCCCTCTTGGAGAGCCCGGCAAACTACTAAGAGTATTCGATATGCCAAACACAGTAACAACAAAGTCTCCAATGGAGACGTTACTGGGCCCGCTGGAGCAAATCGACGATCAACGGGAGGGTCTTTACCTTCACCATACTCAGAATAGTTTGAAAAGATGTTTCATTGAAACTGGTGACTTAATTACCAAAATAAATGTAAGTGTTCTTTTTTCTTAACAATAATTAGGGGTTAGATTTTATTTATTTTTTTTATTATTTTATTTTAATGAATCATCATGAGATACAGTTATAGACTTATAAACTTTCGTGCTTACGTTTCTGTAAGTGTTCTTTTCATTTAAAAATATTTTCCTGTTTTTTTTTCCACTGAACAGTCATTCAGAATATTATGAGTGGATTAAAAAGTAAATGTAGATGAAAATGTGAGTGGAAATATTATAAGGGAAAACTAAGTCAGGATATCATGTGACTTGAGCATATAACTAATAGTCTTCATAATAAGCTGGCGATAAGACAATTCAGTGAAATAGAATGCAGTGGTGAAGAATATGTGTGACTAATGAATTCTGGAATGACTAATGATACAGGATTTCTTTTTTCTTTTTCTTTCTCATTACGACAGTGACTTGCAAAGGGACTTAGGCAAGTCCCAATCCAGCACCAGCCCTGCCTCCAGCACTGACTTTCGCCTCTGCTGTCCCCGGCTTCTTCCCACGCTGTTGCCCTTCTCCTTGATGGGCACATTCTGAAGTTTGATTTTGCCGCCTGCCACGCTGCAAGTGCGCAGGCTCTGTTGGACTTTTGGTGCTGAACTAAATACGGTGTGGTCCCGGAACAAGGCGTTCTCAGTTCAATAGACTGAAATCGAGAGCCCATGAGTACGTCTGCAGCTGTAGGGAAAGTTAATCTGTGACAAAGGGCTGGGCTGTGAGAAGTAGAGCAGGAAGAGCCTCTTCAACAAACTGCATTAGGGAAAATGGACAGCTGCTGGCAAAACACAAAACAAGTAGAAAGAAAGAAAACAAACCAAACCTCTATCTCACACTATTCAAAAAGTTAACTGAATTGGATGAAAATTCTTAATATCAAACCTGTGTCTACCAATAATTGAAGAAAGCACTGTCCTGTAACACTGTCCTTCTGTTGCTCATCGATTTGCTTGAGTGGGCACCAGTAATGTCTCACAACTAATTGTGAGACTTGTTGTTACTGTGTTTGGCATATCAAGTATGTCACGGGGAGCTTGCCAGGCTTTGCCGTGCAGGCGAGGTACTCTCGGTAGCTTGCGGGGCTCTCTGAGAGGGGTGGAGGAATTGAACCCGGGTTGGCCATGTGCAAGGCAAACGCTCTACTCGCTGTGCTATTGCTCCAGCCCACAATTAAAGAAAACTCAGGCAAAATTCTCCACAAATGAGAGAGAGAACAGAGGGGAATGCCCTGCCACAGAGGCAGGGTGGATGGGGAGGATGGGGGTGGGGGGGATATTATCCATGGTGGTGGAAAATGGGCACTGGTGGAGGGATGGGTATCTGATCATTTTATAATCGAAACCCAAGCACAAAATTTGTAAGTCTACAACTGTACCTCATGGTGTCTCACTAATAAAGATTAAAAAAAATTCTCCACAAATGACCTGAGTAGTTTTCAATGATACAAACACCTCTGGCATAGGGGAAAAAAATACCAGAAATAAACAATAGAATTACATCGAACAAAAGAGTTCCTGTAGCAATAAAAGAAATGAAGTTTAAAGCAAAAAGACACATACTGATTTGGAGAAATTATTTGCACTAGGTTTGAGCCTAGTGCCACTGGGGACCAGTTGGGATGGGATGCTTAAGGACTACCAGGGATTCTGCTGGCAGTGCTGGGAAAAGGGGGAACTCTGGTGCCAGGGGTCTTACTCTGATGCTTGTATACGCAAGGGGTGCATCTGTGATCCCGGAGATATGTCCCCAACCCAGCTTCCTTTAATGTTTTTCATTTATTTATGAAGTGGATGAGGAGATAAGTCAAGGTGTAAAGGATATCACTTGTTGGTGCAAAGTCGGGAGTGTAATCCCAGATCCGGGGCTGACCCATGGAGCACCAGAGGCCCTGAGTACCATCAGGCAGATTCTACTGACTCCCAACATTGAAGCTCCTCATCATCAGCTCTAAGGGCAAAGCCTCAGGGCTGCAGCAGGTCACTCTTGCTGCAACATAAACAAACAAAAAATAGTCTTGAAGAGTGGTCGGGAGGACCATTCATGACTGATCACTGATAGATTGCGGGCTTGGAGGAATGAATGTCTTTCTTTGCATTGAAGAGAAAAATCACTCTATCACTGTCATCCCATTGTTCAGTGATTTACTGGAGCGGGCACCAGTAACATCTCTATTCATCCCAGCCCTGAGATTTTAGCAGTCTCTCCTTACTTGTTTTTCTCAACGTTGCCTTATTGGAGGCTCTTTTAGAGTTAGGGAAATGATACCCATTATTGTTACTGTTTTTGGCAGATCGAATACACCACGGGTAGCTTGGCCAGGCTCTGCCATGCAAAGAGAAAATATTTTTTTTAATTGAGTCACTTTGAAATAGGCAGTTACAAAATTGTTCATGATTGGGTTTCAGTCATACAATGTTCCAACACCCACCCCTCCAGCATTGTAATTTCCTACCACCGATATCCCCAGTTTCCTTCCTACCATGCCCCATCCCCAGCGTGCCTCTATAGTAGACACTTTTCTCTCTGTCCTTCTCTGTCTCTGTCTCTGTCTCTGTCTCTCTCTCTCTCTTTCTCTCTCGGGCATTATTATTTGCAATATAGATACTGAAAGGTCATCTTGTATATCCCTTTAGCTCCTTTTGGCTCTCAGTTCTTGTCCAGAATGATCATTTCCAACTATCATTATCATAATGATCTCTTCTTTGTCCTAACTGCCCTCCCCCCCTACACACACACACACACACACACACTTGTTGCAAACTTCCAACCATGGACCAGTCCTCCTGACCTTCGTTTCTAGTTTCTTTGGGTATTAGTCTCCTACATTTTTTTATATCTCACAAATGAGTGCAATCAGCCTCAACCAGTCAATCACTCAGTGTGACACTCTCTGTGTCCATCCATTATAAGCAAATTTCAGGACTTCTTGGAAAAATACTTTTTTTGCAGATAGAGTTAAAGTTCTCAAACTCTGG